TCAGCGATTAGCGTTCGCTAAGAAATTGGGAGCGGATGTGATTATCAAGGTTTCACACAAGATGGAAGATGTGGAATTTGAGGTGGAAAACATCAAGGCCGCCATGGGAGTCGGAATCGACGTCAGCTTGGACTGCGCTGGTTTTAATAAGACAATATCGCTTGGACTGCGCTGGTTTTAATAAGACAATATCCACCGCTCTTCGCGCAACCCGCTCCGGCGGCAAGGTTTGCCTCGTCGGTATGGGCCACTGCGAAATGACAATCCCCCTCACTCCTGCAGTAGCAAGGTAATTTTTAATTAAATATCTAATTGTAGTAGAATCTAGATCGAGATATCTGTATTGTGTTTTGTTAAAGGTTAAAGATAAAGATGATGGTTGTGTTGTTGAATACATGGCCACAGTGCATAGAGTTTTTGATGAGTGGGAAGATTGATGTGAAGCCACTGATCACACACAGGTTTGGGTTCACACAGAAGGAGGTTGAAGAGGCATTTGAAACCAGTGCTCGTGGTGGCAATGCTGTCAAAGTCATGTTCAATCTTTAGAGTTTAGATTAACTGATTAATGTAGTAGTTACACTTGACTAGCTAGTCCTAAGAGTACTTATATCTATGTCAATGAATCGAATAGGCATAAAAGCTCAGGTATTTTGACATTTTCTGCATAAAGTCGAATACGCATATGCCGTTATAATAGTATTGATTAATTATATTAATAGTAAAATAACAGGCCAGTAATTTTAATCTAAATTATTAATAATGGATTATTTTCCATTTAATTAATTTATTTATTTGCAAAATCTTCTTTATATTCTTATTCATTAGCTTAATACTTTAATAGTAAAACAACGCCTAGAAATAATTTAAGAACATTATGGCTTCTCGAATTACAATTTTTTTTTTCATTTTTCCTTAAATGTTTGAGCTGACCAGATTAAGGTTATTTCTGACCACTTTTGGGTGATCTGATTTCCAGTCGTGATGGTTTATAACGCCGAGCTGGTTTTAGTTCCCTTTGCCGCTCAATCTCACCGCCCAAATGCGTGACCTTTGGCGGTGGCCTTAACCTCGAATGTGCCATTGCCCATGTTAGTAATGTTATATTATATGGTTTATTTGTTTATGGCTATTATTATAGTTGACTAGTCTTTACTATTAGATAGGTGCTTTTAGTGGTAGCTTTCCTATAGGACTCTATTGTGTAACCTCTTTCCAGTTTGAATGTGATTTGCGTGGTTTCACTTGGTATCAGTTAGCGTCAGGCTAGGAATCCTACCCTGTTTTTTCTCCACCACCTAACCATGTCGACAAACTCCTCTGAACGCACCGTAACCACCACCCCTCCACCACAAACAACCGGGAACTCCCTTAACGCAGCGCATCACTTTGTCTCAATAAAATTAAACAATCGTAATTTCTTGTTTTGGCGCACCCAAATTATTCCATTCTTACGTGGCCAAGGCCTTTTAGGCTACATTGACGGCAACCATGTTTGTCCATCGGCGTTCTTCCCTGCGACGGCACATGCAGCCGACTCCGGCACCACCGCGGCCGCATCATCCGAAGTCAACCCGGCGCATGCGGCGTGGGTTCAACAGGACCAGCTGATCCTGTCTCTTCTGATCTCGTCTTTATCCGACGAGGTCATGCCATTAGCGGTTGGCCGGGAAACGTCACGCGAGGTCTGGCTCTCCATTAACGACTCGCTGGCGTCCTCCACACGAGCTAAGTGTCTCAATCTGCTTGGTCAGTTTCAGACGCTCCGGCAAGGCAGCATGTCGGCCTCGGAGTATCTTGGAAAGGCAAAGATGCTGGTCGAAGCCTTGTCCCTGGCCGGCCATCGGCTCACTCTTGACGAACAGGTGCTCTACGTATTGAGGGGTCTTCGTCCGGAATTCCGGGCCATGGCGAGTGCTCTCACCGTGACCGGCACACCGGTGACTCTATCTAGAGCCGTCAAAAATGGGTTTTACCCGCTGAGTCGACCCGTCCCGTACCGTCGTAGGTAGGGGACGGGTTCTTCAAATTTTGATCCGCCAGGAGGCGGGCTTTTTAGCTTGTCTCGCCTGGGTCACGGGTCCAGGCAAGGCGGGTCAGGCGGGTCACGGGTTTAGCCCGCGACCTGCTACTACATATATATTTTGTATATATATTTAGTATTTAATACATGTTATTTTGGTTTGTGTAATTGTGTTAGTGTGTTATAACTTATAAGATTATAGATTTATAGGAATACAATACTAGGTAGTGTTACTATGTTAGTGAACTGTACGTCTGTACAGTGATTTTTTTTTTTTTTTTTTTAAGGATATTGTACAGTGATTTTTTTTTTAAAAAAAATAAAATTAACACATCGAAAAAATTGATTGGCGGGCTAGCCTGCCCCGCCAGCGGGCTTTGGCATGGCGGGGTAGGCTGACCACATTCCAAGCCCGCTAAGAGGCGGGCTTTTTAGCCCGTCCCGCTACGAGGACGGGCTTTGGTGTGTTTTGCCCCGTCCCGCCCCGCGAGACTGTTTCGACGGCTCTAACTCTATCCCAACTAGGAGATCTTCTGCAAGCACAGGATTTCATCCAGGGAGACGAGTTCGCGATGGAGTCCGGGAATGGCGTACCGGTCGCTATGTACGCTGGCCGTGGTGGCCAGTCGAATGGGGGCTCCGGACGTGGTGGCCGGCACAACAGCAACAATCACGGCCGTGGGCGAGGAGGCCGGAACTCCGGCGGTCGTGGCCGTGGCAGCCCTCGCTGCCAAATCTGCAGGAGTCACGGCCACACCGCCGTCTTCTGCAACCGGCGCTACACCGAGCCTCCGCCATCGCCGCACGCTCACGTGGCCGTTGCAGGCACTCCACCAGCAGAAACTGCCCAGCCAGAAGTCTGGTTTCCGGACACCGGCGCTACCACCCACGCGTCGCCGGATGAGAACATGATCGGGCAGTCCGACCCGTACACTGGCGGTGATGTGTTGAAAGTGGGCAATGGGGCATGTTTGAATATCTCTCGCGTTGGTTGTACAGCTATCCCATCAAATTCCAAATTATTAAATATGTCAGATGTCTTATTTGTTCCAAATCTGTCATTATCCCTGTTATCCGTTTACCGTTTCACTAACGAAAACAACTTTTTTTTTGAATTTCATAAAGATGTGTTTTTTGTGAAGGATTGCACTACACGGGAAATACTCCTTAAAGGCTCCGCGGTAAACGGGTTGTATAAGTTGTTGGTGCCTAGGTCTCACGTTGCGTTCTTAACGGCCAAAGCTTCACCCACAGTCTGGCATCAACGCCTGGGTCACCCTCATAAACAAGCTCTCCAACGGGTTCTTAAACACTGTCCGGTCACGTCAAATAAAGCTCCGGTGTCAGAAATTTGTTCCGCCTGTCAACGTGGAAAATCCTCCCGTTTTCCCTTAGATAGAGTGTATACTTCAAGTTCTGAAGTTTTAGATTTGTTGTATACAGATATCTGGGGTCCTTCTCCAGTTATTTCAAATTCGGGCTATCTTTATTTCGTTTTATTTGTAGATGACTGTACTCGTTTTTGCTGGTTTTACCCCTTACGGTTAAAATCAGATATCTATAAAGTATTTAATTTGTTTCGGGCGATGGTAGAACGGCGGTTTTCCCGTTCTATCAAAGCCATTCAGTCTGATTTAGGGGGTGAGTATCGTCGCCTGCACACTATATTCGAGTCCTTAGGCATCACACACAGACAATCGTGTGCCTATACCCATGAGCAAAACGGCCGTGTTGAACGCCGGAATAGACACATTGTCGAAACCGGTCTGGCCTTATTAGCCGAAAGCTCAACATCGTTGAAATATTGGGATTATGCGTTTGAAACCGCAACTCAACTAATTAATTGTTTACCTTCATCTGCCGTGTCATATGAATCACCATACTTCCGTCTATATAAAACACCACCCCCTTACACTTTCTTTCGTGTCTTCGGGTGTAAATGTTATCCGTATTTAAGGCCATATAATCGGCATAAAATCGAATATCGTTCTACACCCTGTGTCTTCCTAGGTTACCCAGTCTCTTTTAGGGGATACTGCTGTATGGACTTAACGACGGGAAAGATATTTATCTGCCGTCATGTGCGTTTTGATGAAACACTTTTCCCTTTTTCTATGCAGACTCCTGTGCAGGTTGATTCAACTCCGGCCCCCGCTCCTTCCCCTTGGGGAGCTGGGCCCGTAGTGTTGAACCCTATCAACACCACGGTTCTAGATGAACCCCCGATTGCACAGCAGCCGGCCCCCATGGCCATAGAAGCACCACCTCAGACTGGTGCAAGACGGGGCCGCCCACCGGGCCGCACCAAGAGAACTCGCACAGAAGTTGAGGACCATACCATGCGCACTAGGGGTAAAACTCGGGGACATGACGAGCTGTTCTATGCTCTTAATGCCTCTGTGGACCCCACTTGCTACTCTCAGGCTGTAGGTCACCCTTAATGGCGTGATGCTATGGATCAGGAGTTCAATGCCCTTATGCATAACAATACCTGGCAGCTCATCCCGGCGTCTCCGAATATGAATATTATCGGCTGCAAATGGGTCTTCAGAACCAAGCGCAAGGCCGATGGGACCATTGAACGCTACAAAGCCCGATTAGTGGCAAAGGGGTTCAATCAGGTCACTAGAGAAGACTTTTTTGACACCTTCAGTCCCGTAGTCAAGCCAACTACGGTTCGTATTTTGTTCTCTCTTGTAGTGTCACGCAAATGGGTGTTGCGACAGCTTGATGTCCACAACGCCTTCTTGAATGGTTGTCTCTCCGAGACAGTTTACATGAAGCAACCCCCCGGCTACGAGGACCCGTCACACCCGGGGCACGTCTGCCACTTGCAACGTTCCTTGTACGGGCGTGGTTCAACCGCTTACACGAGTTTCTGACATCTACCGGTTTTTTGGCATCCAAAACCGATGTCTCACTCTTTTACTATACAGCGGGCAACTCCCGGGTCTACTTATTGGTCTATGTAGACGACATGATCATGATGGGCAACGATTCGGTATTGATTGATACTCTTCTCCGCCAGCTATCAACAGCCTTTAAGATTCGTGACCTCGGGGTACCCCACTTTTTCTTAGGGATTGAAATGGTGCCTTCTGGTGCTGGGCTTATCTTATCTCAGCGGCGGTATATGAAAGATATACTCACGAGGTCGGGAATGACGGACTGTAAGGCTCTAGCTACTCCGGCAGCAGTAACACAACCGGCCACGCCCTCCTTAACACCTTTTGAGAACCCGACTCAGTATCGACGGATTGTAGGGGCTCTCCAGTATCTAACCATTACCAGGCCTGATCTCTCCTACTCGGTAAACAGGTTGTGTCAGTTCATGCATTCTCCTACGAACGACCACTGGGCTCTACTCAAGCGAGTGTTGCGGTACATTAAGGGCACTCAAGACTACGGGCTTCGTCTATCAGTGTCATCCTCTTCCGATCTTCATGCTTTCACTGACTCGGATTGGGCCGGATGTCCCGTCGATCGCAAGTCTACTAGTGGCTATGCTGTGTTCTTAGGTGACAATCTTGTTTCATGGGTCTCCCGCAAGCAGCGTACTGTCGCCAGATCTTCCACAGAGGCCGAGTACAAGGGGCTTGCTGATGTTGCTGCCGAGGTCACTTGGGTTGTCTCGTTACTCCGTGAACTAGGGTTACATTCTGGCTCACCAACCACTCTATGGTGTGACAACCTAGGCGCCACTTACCTAGCTGCAAATCCAGTTTTTCATGCCCGCACAAAGCATGTTGAGATCGATTATCACTTCGTCCGGGACAAGGTCGCTTCTGGGGAATTCATTGTCAGTTTTGTCTCAACTAAAGATCAGCTCGCCGACATCTTCACTAAACCACTACCAGCTCCGCGTTATCAGGCTCTGCGGGACAAGCTCAATGTTGTCGCCCTCCAACCTTGTGCTTGAGGGGGTGTGTTAGTAATGTTATATTATATGGTTTATTTGTTTATGGCTATTATTATAGTTGACTAGTCTTTACTATTAGATAGGAGCTTTTAGTGGTAGCTTTCCTATAGGACTCTATTGTGTAACCTCTTTCCAGTTTGAATGTGATTTGCGTTGTTTCACTGCCCATATCGAAAATCAACATGTTGTTTTTTTTTTTCTACCATCCACATATTTATTCTATACTATATATAAAAGCAAAATCCTCCATTTTAATTTTCTGACCAAAACACTCATATATTATTAACTAAGGTTTGGGTAATATTGTAAAATATGGTAATACAATTCTACATTAAAATATGGTAATACAATTCCTATACAATATATTCTTTCCTTACTAATCTATCTATACTATTAATAAAAACAAAATCCTACTTTTGCAATTTCCCGCCCAAACTACCTCAAAATCAATGTTACTATATAAAATCTAATAATTATTATGGTAATTAAGCTAATAATTATAATTACACGAATATCTATACTATATATAAAAACAAAATCCTTCATTTTAACTTACCATCTAAAACAATCCTATACTATTATGATTTGCGTAATATTGTAAAATACTGTAATAGAATTCCTAATTGAATATATTGTTTCATACTTTCCTTATTCGTACTACAATTCTACATTAAAATTCATATTGTTCTCCCAAAAGGTTGATTCCCCAACCCTAAGGGCCCCCACACCCCGGCCCGACAGAGTATTTGAGAGGATGTAAATCACTATTTCATATTCTAATATTATAAAATAGTGTAATACAATTCTAATAGAATATATTGTTTTTACTTTCCTATACGTATTACAATTTTACATTAAAATTCCCATTCATAATACAATACAACAATATTAAAATTCATATTTCTATTCAACAATATTATATTATTTCTTTTTCCGTTAAAAATTATATTCTCCATTATTAGTTTTGTAATTCTCCGATAAATTTACTAAATTTCAAACTTCCATTAAAACTCAACTGCATGGCTTAATAATTTTCTGAGAATATAAATGGCACGGAAATTAGACCAATTGAAAAAAGAAATGAATATTAATAATTGACTAAAAATTAAACAAGGTCCCCAAATTAACTATTTCAAAAAGGAAACGGATTAACTATGGTATAGGTAAATTGGAAAAAGGTATTGTTATTAATAATTTACTAGAAATATATATAAAAATATGTTATTAATAATTAACTAATTAACACATATTAAGAAAAAATAATTGGTTGAGAATAAAGATGACATGAGAATTAGGCCAATTGGAAAAAAATATTAATACTTAATTTAAAATAAAAGAATATGTGCATTCAAAAAAAAAATAAAAGAATATGTTATTAATAATTAACTAATTGATATGTATTAAAAAAAATAATTGACTGAGAATATATATATGACACGAACCCCTTGACTGAGATTGTTATTAATAATTTACTGGAAATATAAAAAAAATTGTTATTTTTTTAAAACAAAAACTGTTATTAATAATTAACTAGGGGAAATCGCATTTTTGGACCCTCAATTAGTGCCCAAAATGCAATGTGATCCTCACTTTCCAATTTGGACAGAATTGGTCCCTCAATTAGTCCACCGTTAGTCAATTTAGTTCTTCTGTGAACGATGTTAAAAGGATTAGCTCACAGAAGGACTAAATTGACTAACGATGGAATAATTGAGGGACCAATTCTGTCCTAATTGGAAAGCGAGAATCACATTGCATATGGGCACTAATTGAGGGACCAAAAGTGCAATTTTTACAAGTTATATATATAACTAATGTAAATTTTATTAAGGGGAAATCACACCTTTGGCCCCATTAGTGCTCCGTGTGCAATGTGATCCTCACTTTTCAATTTGGATAGAATTGGTCCCTCAGTTATTCCACTATTAGTCAATTTAGTCCTTCTGTGAACGGTGTTAAATGGATTAACTCACAGAAGGACTAAATTGACTAACGGTGGAATAATTAAGGGACCAATTCTGTCTAAATTGGAAAGTGAGGATCACATTGCATTTTGGGCACTAATTGGGGGACCAAAAGTGCGATTTTTTCTAATTAACTGATTAAGATGTATTAAAAAGAATTTTTTAATTAATAATTAACTAATTAATATGTATTAAAAAGGAATAATTGACTTATGCAGAGTCCCCTTTGTTTGGAAACAAGATTTGCGTGAAATGACATCCAAGGAAGAAAGAATTCTCCATAGGACAATTGTTCTATGTTTTGTCAGGGTGTGGAGAATTATACCATCTAAGATGCCTTTTAAATTTGGTACGTGAACCTTCTAACCACGAGGATATTATTCATACTGTTGCGGGTGTAATTCACAAATAGTTTAGGGATGCGTGTTATGAATATGGATTATTAGATGATGAAAATGAGTACATTGATGGCATTACTAACTCGAGTTACTGGGCATCTGTGTATGCTTTGCAACGGTTGTTTGCTACGCTTCTCACTTCAAGTTCAATCAGTAGGCCAGAGGTGGTGTGAAATGCCGTTTGGGAATTTCTTGCGAAGGATGCAGAAGTTTAGCGTCGACGTCTCATGCAAAATCCAGGTATATCGGCATCCAATCTATTTAATCGACTTTTTTATTTCCTTATCATTATTTCTAAATAAACTAATTTGTTGATTTTTTTTTTCTTTTTTGGTGTATGAAGAGTTGGTGTTATCGAATTCAAATAAGAAACAGTTCGCTCTGGTGGAGTTAGAGAAGTTGCTATCTCTGTTGGGGGAAGAGCTTGATGGACTTTCTAGAAATGCCAATTCGAAACGAAAGCAGCATGGGTTTGATGGAAAACATGTTGATAGCTGAAAAGTTGGTGTATGACAAGGAATCGTTGAAGACAGAGCATGAAGGTAACATAATTGACGGAAGAAAAAAACAAAGAATGTCTACGACTCTGTGATGAATGATATTGATTCTAATGGAGATGGATTGTTCTTTGTGTATGGTTAAGGTGGAACAGACAAGACGTTAGTGTGGAGAACGTTATCTTCAAAGATAAGGAGGCGCGGTGATATTGTTCTCAACGTTGCTTTGAGTGAAATAGCATCTTTGCTCTTGCCAGGTGGCAGGACGGTGCATTCCAGATTTGCTATATCATTCTCTTTGGGAAATATATCGTGACCTTGCTAAGCTTATAATAAGGAGCAAATTGATAAAATTGGACGAAGCAGCGATAACGCACAAACATTGTTTTGAGGCTTTGGATAAAACCATGAGGGATCTTTGAGGTTCGCCATACCGGGTAGTGATGAAAAGATATTTGGTGGAAATATAGTAGTTTTGGGCGGCAATTTTAGACATATTCTTCCCGTTATTCCGAAAGCAACTAGACTAATAGTTGTTGCAATCAGTACATGTATGACATGAATATTGCAAAAGGTCGAACATATTTAAGTTGTGACACTTTGTGTAAGGCAGAATTAGATGGTGAAAATCTATCAGAAGTACACACTCCTAAATTCGAAAATAGTTTGAGATCGTCTGGACTTAGCTTCCTAATCATTCATTGGCATTAAAGGTTGGTGCACCTGTTATGTTATTGGAAAATATAGATCACTCTATTGGTCTTTGCAACGATACGTGCTTCTTTGTCACAAGATTGTCTGATCACATTGTCGAAGCAAGAATAGTTAATGGGACTAATATGAAGGAACCAAAGTTCTTATCCACCGAATGTCTCTCACTCCTCCTCATACAAGATTGCCCTTCAAGTTCCTGCGTAAATAATACCCGTTGATGATCGCATATGCCATGACTATCAACAAAAGCTAGGGACAACTAGTAACTCACGTTGGGTTATTGCTGAAAAATTGGTCTTTAATCACTGTCAATTGTACATAGCTTTTTCTCGAGTCACCCATCCTGATGGTCTGAAGGTGTTAGCTCTAGACAAACATGGACAAGATTTTGTTGCTACTACCAATGTCGTTTACAAAGATGTTTTCAATAATGTGTAATTCCAACTAGTGATATTATGTTTTCTTTTTATACGAAGATGACAAAATCGATATATATCTACACAGAAAATATATATTCCAAACAAATAAATTAGGATAACAAATGATTTCTATAATTGAGTTGCTAGACAACGAGCAAATTTTCCTAATTAATACAAATCCTAGACACTGATATATAAATTCTCTAAAGTTTCAGCACCGGTTCGTACATATACACATTAGCTATTAATTGGGTAATTATTTGTTCAAATTCAAGCAATGATAATATCATAAAATACAATCGATCGAACTCAATTCTTCAATTGTATTATATAATATTCAATGTTATAATTTATATAATTGTATATCGATGCAAATATTCTTAAAATATTATAACAAATTCATTCCGTGCATCGCACGGGTGAAATACTGGTTTTAATAAAGATATAATTGTACATTACCTTAAAAATATTAAACTATTATTTTTTATTAGACAATATTGTTCGTTGTAATGCAAATTTGTTTGCAGGCCTTTAGCTCGCGAAGAACAGTAAAAACAGGAAGAAGAACATAAAGAACATAGGAAAGAGATTTCTTTTTTATTCATAACTCTGTACATCACTACATCAATATATATAACAGTTATTACAAGATCATACCATAAATATAAAGTCATTACCAATCATATCATTAATGATATAATAATGTCCATAATTAGATTTTACAACACTCCCCCTTGAACATTATTTTGCCATAATCTTGTCTCATTAACCCTGTGGGAAAAACCTAGACAAAGAAAAGAGTGCAAGATTTATGGGTAATTATATTCATGCATCATTAAAAACTTCACTATGAAAACCACGGAAGAAAAACCTAGTTGAAGAAAAGAGTACATGATATTTGTAAGAACATATATTGTACTGATTGCCTCATTAAAACCGTAACTTAAGAAAACCCTGTGGGAAAAAACTTAGTTAAGGGAAAAAAGTACAATCATAAGCCTTCAAGGCACAATTGGCATAATCTTCAGGATTTTTGGGGTTTGTCTACATAAACAACTATTTTGCGACATTTCCCCATTGTCATTACTATATTATACTCACGTCTCGTTAAAAACCTCACTAGGAAAACCACTTGGAAAAAATCTAGTTGAGAAAAAGAGTGCATGATGTATGTGTATTCTTGTTTTAGATTAGTTGCCTCATTAAAAACCTTAGATTTAATGAAAAATCCCGTGAGGAAAAAAAAACTTAACTAAGGAAAAGAGTACAGCCGTTTAGTTGTCAAGATCCAATCTTCAGGATTGATCAATGTAAGATAATACTCCCCCTCAAGATAACAATCTTCAAATCTCACGCATAAAATATATTTCAAAAATTGTAGAAATAGATTGGACAAATCTTCTGGATTGTCACTAGAGTAAATATCTTGTACAATAAGGAAAATTCATTGTATAACTAGAGTAAATATCTTCTAGAGCTCATATAACATTTGTGCAACACAAGTGTTATTCTCCTCATTTTGAACATTAAGGAAAATTCATTGTATAACTAGTTTGGGACTTGGCATTACGGGGATCAAACAAAAAGCCAGTACCCAAGTAGCCTATTAAAATTGTATCATAGTTTCTTACATAAATGTCATGTCTTTGTACCTTGAATATACCGAATGATATGTTAATCATTATTCAAGTACTTCATTGTAGGAGGAGCACTAGATTCTGCTAGCTATTTCATTGCAAATATCATGCCTGTTGCGATTATGGAACTTCTGGTTCTAAAATAGTGCTCCAACGATAATGAAGTAAAGAACTTCGAGTCCAAACGGTTCCTTATCTACTTCAAGAGATTATTAGACAACCTTATAGTTTGACGAAACCATGATACTTAACCATATAGATAGGTGAAAAATAGGTTAACTGGTGTATAAAATTCATTCAATGGAAAAACTCGATCTTCAAGTTGAGATAATACTTAGCTTTCACAAGCCTTTTATTTCAAAAACTCCGTCTTTAGATATGGGCTGACATCATCAAGCCCTTTATATATTTCATTGATGTTTTCCACCATCAATATTGATTTAGATAATAAATAATAAATAAGTTCATTATCAACCTTTATCGAGCACACAATGGTACATATTATTCATTCAATAAGGATATTAACTTCATTTGCAACCCTTTAAAGAGTAAATAATGACACTTAAATTCTCATTTCGAGAATTATAAATCCATCTGAGATTTTTCAAAATAAATATTAACTGCATATCTAAAATTATTATTATTCTGCCAATAATATTATGTAGCGGAACTTATGCCATTTATCGTGGGAGAGTATATTTGATTAAAATCAATTAAGGGTTTCTGCGTGAACCCATAGGCTACAGACTCGCTTCATATCTTATCACCTCATTATTCTTTTTTCTTTCCACACCATTTGTAACCTACAGGGTTAATACCTCAATGGCATACGAAAGGAATATATTAGCGAGTTGAGCTGTATATGCCTTTAATTGCTCACTTTATACGTTAATCAATCTAGGCGCTTCTGGCAACTAGTTCTGGATCCAGATTGTCATATAATATGAGCAATTTGAAGGCAATTGTGTTGTCGACAACTTAAAACATTTTTCAAGAATTTCTCCCAAATTTATAATTGTTCATGGCAATATTTAAGTCAACCAGATTCTAGACATTTCCCAAAGATATTTTGATCTGGTCGTCCCACATCCCTAGTATTACGTTTGTTTTGTGCACCTATAATTTTACTAGGGTTTTTCGTCATCTGGACGAACGTCTGCAGGACATAATTATTCAAACCATTTCAAGAGTGACAATGTTTATTTACTAGATCTAATATTATGATTCTTAACTTTTACACCGATATATCTCCTACACCTCTGGCGTCAAGGAGTATCGGTGGATACATTTGGTCCAAGTTGGGAAAAGTATATGGGACCTAGTCACTCTTTTATGATCGGTATGATCAATAGATGTATTTGGCAGATTATTTGCTAATATCGCAAATAGAGATTATCTTCTGAACTTCCAATTCAGTCTAACTAGTACATGGAATTTTAATAATGAAGATGTTTTCATTCTATGAAATTTCTTGGCATTTCATTAAAAGTTAATTTATTATCTCCCCCTAATGCCAAGAAACAATCTTCATTAAGTATGTAGTCAGCGTATTTGTTAATCCCCTATAATGGGCTCTAGGTATTTAAACAGCGGACAGAGGTTTATAGCCCATAGAGATACGCTTGAGGTGGTGATACAATAAAAAGGACTACATACTAAGACTAGAAACGCAGATCAGGAAATGTTTAATTCTACCACGTACTATGTGTATGGGGAATAATTACGATATGCAGTGAGTCAGATTTGAATTAATACAAATATCCCCAAAAATAGATAATTTGGTAATTTCTCATTCACTCATGCTTTATAATTTACTAATATATGGGTAAGAAATTCCAATATCTGACTCTGTATGTTTGCCCTAAATTCATGATATAATTTAAAAGAAATTGGTTCTTTAAAAATT